CGCACCCAATGACCGGACTGGGGAAACAAACTGAAAAGCGGATTTAATACAGAGGACTAATGACAACAACCAGAAACAGCTGATCGCATGGGGATCCCACACGAGGTTAACGAGGGGGCGTGGAACACGGAAGGAGCGGACAATCGGGGCAGGACAGGGGTAATGTTGGGATAAGATCTTTATCGTTTTGGAAGCCATTAAGAAAAAAATGCTCTTCTTGTTTTATCCTGTTCATTTTGTGTTTAAAAACATAACATAAAAACATATTTAGGTGTAATTTTGGGGGGCCGGGAACCAATTAATTGGTTTTCCATTAGGCCTATTTCTTATGGGAAAAATTCGATCAGAACTCGAACTTTTTAGGATTCGATCCGGAGTCCGGAACGGATTAAGTTTGAGAACTGAGGTACCACTGTACACTGATGCTGTGAAAAGATTTGCCATTCACATAATCGCCCTCATGTTCTCCCAGGGGTGCACTAATTGAGCTGTGTGTGCAATCGATGATTCCTATGACCCTTGGGAATCTTATGAGAAATTGTGCTCAGTAAAAGCAATTTCCCTATGGAAATAGAATATTTTAATGCTGCGATTTACCTGCGATTGCATGAAAGCCTTCTTTATTACGCAGAGCACTTAAATGACAAGGGAAAACCACAAATGCATCCAACAGTCTAGATAGAACAAGCACCACTTTGCAAACCGCACGGCAAACAGTATTCTTGCTCAGATGTTCAGCATCACCTGTGGAAAACATAAATTGGCCACTGGCAAAATATTTTGGCACAAAGCATACTGTCTGCTCGATTGTGAGGACATTGCTATGGTGAAGGGAATTAGAGACCTATGGGCCAATCAACTGACAAAGGTAGCGAATTCCCTCAGATGAGAACCTGTACCTTTCATGCAGGTATGCCAGCGGATTCTGGCAGTCTCTAAAAACCCTCGCCCTGCGGAGAGAGCCCCCTCATGATTTGCGTGCCAGTGTCGTACTGTATGGATCATCCAGGTACACCGGCATTTTCTTAAGAGAAATTGTAGTTGGAGGGGCGGTGCTCATATAGGGCTGGCTTACGCAGCAACCTCGACTTAACTAAGAACAGGACCTGCACAAAGCAGGTTTGAAACACAGTGTAAATTGCCATAGCAGCATACCTCGAGTAAAACCTACCCACCTTTCATAGTACGGGTTAATCGCGAAGTTACACCACATGTCATCAAGTTACTCGCAAAGTTACCCCGATAAGCCAGTAATCCCACTTCGAAGTACAGGTCACTGATTAGCACTGATTGAGACAACCTGGTTTTGTCAACTCTGTGTTCGCAAATTGACTCCAGTGGCCTGTACTACGAAGCGGGGTTACTGGCTTATCAGGGTAACTTGTCGGATTTAAGGTACCACAGTTTAAATGGACTTCATATTCATTCACTTACATTTTGCCCAGACTACCTTAAATCCGACAAGTTACCCCGATAAGCCAGTAACCCCGCTTCGTAGTACAGGCCACAGGTTAAATCTGATTTGGTTAAACCCCCTTCATAACACAGGCCCCTGACCTGACCTCTGCTTCTTAACTGACCAGATCAATATCCCAGAAGTTTAATTGACTTGATGCTATACTCTGATTAATAAATGTTCCTTTAATTTTTTTGAGCAGTGTAGTTTAGTCTAATATTGCCGGTGCCAGCAGTAAAACAACTAGCTAGCTTATAAACTAAATAACTCTGCATAGTAAATTAAAACCATGCTGCAGCTCTAATAAATAATGTACTGTGGTGCTCGAGTGGCAAAGTTATCATGAGGCGGTCAGCAAAGTTCAGTTATTAGCAGACTCTTTTATTGCGAGGTCCTTAAAAGGACAGTGACAAAACAACGAGCGAGAATAAAGAATAAACTCACACACAGACAAGGAGCCTTTAAGGAGACAAAAGTGGATTCAGGCAGTAGAGACAGAGCGCAACAATTCATTCAGTTTGGCAGCTTATAAAAACTTAAAATCCAAAACAGATAACATGAACCTTTGCTCTCATTTCCACTTATGTTCATTTTTGTGACCGGTGGAAATGTGGGCAGGTTCTCAAAAGGCACTAAGAGAGAACCAGCCTAGCACTGCTTCTGCGTTGGTAGAAATGAGGCAAATGTGACAGGTTTTAGATACACCTGTAAAGCAGAGTGATGTGAAATGTCCGAGTGCGTTTATACTCTGATAACTGCACTTGTCCAATCAGATTTCTTGGTCGGAATTAACTGTATGAAACTGTATAATTTACCATAAACCACTCAAGTCACCCATCTGCAGAAGAATCTCAATTCAAGCCTGAAATGACTCTTATGACTCAGCTGTTATCTTCTCTTCAGGTTCATACTCACTGTTATTGAGTTCACAGCCTCTCTCAGCACTTGCAGGTCCTTTTGTTTCATCTGAATTCTTTGCTGAAATTCCTTCTGTGTTTCACCCATTTTTTTCTACCGAAAGGGAAAAATATGACAAAATGAGTTTGTTTCATTAGCTGAGTTTATATTTGAATGTATTTTAATCACCATGTCCAGCGTGGACCCCAGCCTTGTGCCCTGGGGAGGCTCCAGGTCCCCATGACCCTGACCTGGATTAATGGTTAGGAGATGGATGGATGGATGGAAATTCTTAAACGATTTATTGACTGTAGGTAGCATAAACTGGACAAAGATCTTTTGACTCCTGATCCTAGTGACACATCATTTAAAAACTGCATTTTGTATGTACTCTGGTTATCGTTGCCTATTATTAAAATTTGTTCAAAGATCTGAAATGTAAGTTTGACAAAAATGCATAAAAATAAAAAATACTTTTTCACAGCACTATGAGTAGTGGAAAGTTCCCATGTCTCTTTTTTACTTGCAGAAACCTATTTATTGGTTCATTTATTATCATAATTACCAATATCTAGTAGGTAGATAATGATTATGTACACTAGACAGTGATGGTTAACTAAAGTTAACACTGAGCTCAGCAACTTTAGTAATTTGCTTGCAACTAAGACTTAGTTTGTGGTTAATTAATACATTAAGTAAGAGTTGGTTCATGGTTAATTAAGATTTTAGTATATTTGTGGCCCCACAAGTAAAGTGTTACTGGAAATATTCAGTAATGCATATGTCTGTGTGTTTTCTTTTCAGTTTTGCTTTATCTCATTAGCCTCAATCTCTGTGCCTTCAAAGCAAATTACACTCACAAACATCCATCCATCACCATAACAACTTAATCCCAACTGGGGTCATGGAGCCAATCCTGGGAACAAGGGGCACAGGCAGGAACCAACATACTACAGGGCCAACTTAGAATTGCCAATTAACCAATCATGCACGCTTTTGGACAGTGGGAGGAAACCGGAGCCCCTGGCAGAAACCCACATCAACACAGGGAGAGCATGCGAACTCCAAGCAGAAAGGACCTACGCCGACCCGGGGATCGAACCCAGGGAGAGCATGCGAACTCCAAGCAGAAAGGACCTACGCCGACTCGGGGATCGAACCCAGAATCTTTTTGTTATGAAACAGCGGCACTAATCACTGCACTGCACTACCGTGCTGCCCAACTCACAGACATAAAGACATAAAGACATTTTATGTGCCTTGTGTGGGAAAGGGGGTAAATAAACACTTTCTTCCATTCGGTTGTGGAAATGATGTCTGTATTTTTGGAAATGTATAAATTAAGTAATCAGAAAAATATATATCGCACAGAAGACAATGACGCATAAAAACCCACAAACGTAAGACTTGTCTTTCATGAAGAGCAAGAGGGAATATGCCCCCACATGCCCCCAGTACACTGTGTACAAAGCTTTTCATAGCAGCATCGAAATGCTCATGGCTCCTAGTTCTAGAAGGAAATATGTCAGACTTGCAGTGTTTGTTTACCGTATGAACCAGACTAGCGGCTACGAGCTACTTCCTGTTGCATGTTTCTATTTTCAAATTTTCTACTTAATTTTCCAACTTTAAATCACATTTTAAGTGGATGCCAGTTATTCAGTTTTGTGTATGTGTATAAATATTTATGGTTCTGTACTAACAAAATAACTTTTTTCAACAAAAAGATTTTTTTCAAGCATAGTTTACATAAACATTTTTAGAACTTTTATAGAGGGATTCCTGACCTGTATCTCCTCCCTTTCTGCAGCAGCGGAGACTGTATCATGACCTCTGTGTTCATACATCGTACAGAGATGACAGATACACTGCTGGTCGGTACGGCAGTAGCTCTCCAGGGGTTTGTCATGGTGGGAACAGACCTTGTCCTGCAGATGTCCAGTGGCATCAGTCAGCTTGTGCTTCTTAAAAGCTGGAGACTCATAGTGAGGCTGGAGGTGAGTTTCACA